ATTTTCATCGCAATTTTAACTTAATGCTAGCTAACTCAACAGTAAGGGCTCAGAAAAATAAGTTAATAAGGAAATAAAAGAAAAGGGAACATTTTTGTAATTCTTGATTTATCCAGGAAGCCTTCTCCTGTTCAGTCTAGGGCCACACACACACACACAAACACACACACACACACACACACGTGCACATACACATCCCACCCACTCACACATACACACTTTCTTTCTCATCTCTGCTTTATTTGTCTCTTTAGCAGTTATTACTACCTAATATACTGTATATTCTATTTATTTATCTTGTTTAGTGACCATGTCCCCTACTAGAATATAGGCGCCACAGATCAGGGGGATTTTTGGTCTGCTGTGGTCACTGCTGTATCCCCTGTACCTAGAAAAACCCTGGCAGATTCTTTGTGAATGTTTATGAAATACATGAAGGAACAAATGAATGAATGGACCCAAGCTAGGGTTACCGAAGGATAACTTAATGCCAGCCTTAGAATCTAATCCCCTGTAAGATATAACTATGTTTCCTTCCATTCTGTTCTCTCTCTCATTTTTTTCACATGGCTATGATCAGACTGTATATATTTTGTATCTAACTTACCTCACCTAAAATTATACACGTATATAATAAGCAGAGAAAATATCTTGTCTTTTTCCATCTTAAAATACTACAACTTCATCAGAAGAAAATGTGGAAACGAAAACTCATCATTGAAAAGAAAACTATTCATAGACCCAGCCCATTGGAATTATCACTAACATTTGGTACTTTTGCCTTCTAGGTCATCAGTTTCAGAGTGTAAGTTCTAAATGACATTATGATCACACTAAAGATGGAATTTTTCATTACAAATTTTTTAACAGACTTGGCATCTCATTGCATACACAGTTAAATGAGATCGATCAGAATTTACTTAATCGTTTCCCTATTTCTGTGTATTTAGGCTGTTGTCCATTTTTTTCTTTTATAATATCGCAACAGACATTTTTTTATAAAAAGCTTTTCCAAATTTGGGTTTAAGGAAATGACTTGTGAATGGTCCCTATGCTACCCTTTAGCATCCTGCCATAATCCCCTTCATTCCCTCACCCCACTGCTGATGTAATTTATGGCTCTGGCTTCTTATTTGTTTGAAGCTCATCCCTTAAGGGGTGACCTCCCAGTGTCTTCAATTATTATTTTAAATGATGCCTTAGGTCATTGCCTGGCACAGCAGTGCCCTCACCTTCCCGCCTTCGGCCTTCCAAGCATGGAGCTCAGCTGCCAAACTGGCTGTGCCCCCTCCCGTCTTCAGCAAGGCTTCCAGAGTCCCAGCAGAGAGGCAGATTAACCCCTTTTGTTAGCAGAGGTAATTTGCCGGGGCTCCGCATTAATAAGGAATGCCGTAAGCGGTTGGGGTCAGGATGAACAGATCTGTCAAGCCCCAGGGTTAATTTAATAGCAATCTGTTGGCTTTCTGCCTTGTATATTAGCCGTGAATCCAGTGCTCTGTTTTGCTTTTGCCGTTTAGTTCTTTGGGACAACAGGGAAATAATTTGGATAGAGAGCTCTAAAAGATAGGAGAGAGAAAATTGACTGTCAACATGCATCATTCCATTTCCAAGATAATACAGAGAGCCCCGCACTGCTCCCCTCCTTTCTCCTTCGCTCCCAACATGAAGGGCACAACCACGTATGCTGGAGGTGTGTATCTCCCTTTAGAACAGTTTAAGGGAAAAGGCTGGGTTTCTAGGTGACGCAGATGTGAAATATGCTCTCTTGTCATCGCCATAAGCCATTGCATTTTTGGAAACTAGACTCCTTCTCCCAAATGTTTTTAGAACTCAGAAAATCCTCTGCAGTTAACAATTCAAGAAATCCCTTCTCACGTTTCTGTCTCAACTTACGGTTCCAAAAAAAAAAAAAACATTCATCACATCAGGGAACACAAAAATCCTAGGTCCGGTGCTGTGTCCAAATTCTGGTTCTGAAAAATGTAGCCCCCAGAGTGGTCGGTGAATTGAGAGAGCACAGGTTCAAAGCAGAATCCCTGTTGGATTAGCCAGGGGAGTTTCCAGAGAGCCAGAATTACATCACTCGGAAAGGCTGGCTCTGTGACGGCCATTCATCAGGGGAGGAGAGTGGAGTGTGGTCAAGAACCCAGGCTCTAGAGTTGGACAAACTCGGGTTCAAATCCCAGCTCCACCCTCTATGGTCATATGACCTTGAGTAACTTAACATCAGTCAAGAACATAGGCCTATTAATAATATTAACATCATAAGGGTGAGATGAAGGTCAAATGAGACAATGCACGGCACGTGATAAACATTAACTACTGCTTATTATTACCTTCCTAGTTGTCCTTATCACTACAGTTACTAAAAAGAGGATTGGAGTCATGGTTTCTCCCCTGAACCCCATAGAGTCAGACCCAGAGAAGCCCTCTAGTCAAAAGGAAGATGCTTGGGGATGAGGTATGGTGGGCAGGCTTAGAGGTCCAGGATGGATGGGAGGGAAGGAAGGAGGAAGGGTCCAGAGGCAGCAGCCCTAAGCAGACTCAGTTCTGATGCAGTTCTTGATGGTGGAGGATGTTCCCGGTTTCACATGTATGTTTAAGCCCTTCATTTTCACACATTCTAACTTGTGGGCTTTATTTTTAGGTGAGAAAAAAATAACCGTAGATGTGGCACCTCCCGCTACCACACAGCCAAGATCCCTTCCAGTTAAGCTTGTTTTTAGAGCTATACTGGTAGAGGTTGAGAAAGCTGACACCAGATTTTCTTGCCCTATTTTGAGAAAAGAGAAACATGCTCACTGGCACAGTAGGGCATGGAGGCTCTTTCTGGAGGGTGATAAAATCTGACAACAGCTGAACACTAACCTCTGCTTAACCCCACCCTGTATCGTGGCCACAAAGCCCAGGGCATGGGTCAGGGGACTGGGGAGAACATCAGAGCTGCAGCTTGGGGCCTCCTTCTGGGGGGCACTGGCCCCTGCTCCCCAGCAAGTGATGCTAACTGCAATAATATTTATAACTCTGGTAGCAGTTGAGTTGAAAGGTAGTATTTTGTGAATCAAAGGAACCCACATGCTCTGGAGACCCAAGAAATATTTGCATCTGGATTTGTGAGGGAAATTGTAGTAAGATGAAATGTTAGTTGTCTCAAGCTAATTTTAGGAAAAAAACCCAACAGGATTTATAAGAGGTAATTGAAAGGGAAAGAGGCACAACCAGATATAAAGCCATTATTGCACCAGATGACATGCCGGAGCACGGGTGATGTTTGATAATAGATGACTACTTTGTTAGCGCTAACGTGACTAAAAATAGCAGTAGAATTACTCGTACCTCATCTAAAGTCTAAGGAGGAGATTATGTTCCCAACTTCATGAAAAGCATAGGAGACTTTTATCTAACCCAGTCTAATAGCATTATCTGTGTCAAGTTACTGCTTGTTGATTCAATGCAGTGTTTTCCAAAATGTGATATATAAGCTCCTGGCACAGACATAAATACGTTCATTTTAATGGTTAAAAGCATTTATCTTAGGTACGGAATATTATTTAAAATGTAACTAGCTCATTAAACCCATGATTTTATGAATATTGGATTACTGCTTAGACAAGGCTAAGTAAAGAAAAAAGTGAGTCGATTTAAGTTGATGTGGAGAAAAAATGTTAAGTTAAAAAATGCTACCTAGTGACATACAGGTGGGGCGAAATCACAAATGTGACTCAAAAGTGAGAATCATTTTGGTTCACAACATCCACATCACAAGGCCTGTCCTTTGCAGGAAGTTGCTGGGTCCTTGGACAGCACCTCAGCCCCAGCCAGGTACCACCGTACCTGGACCCAGGTCTCCCGAGCTCTCAGTAGAGGTGGGAAGGGATCAGCCCAAACTCACTCCCACTGAAGACGTTTGTTTCCACTGGGTCACCGTCATAGATGAAAGGCCAAATGTTTCATTTCAGTACACAAGGATGTGGTCTTTAAAAATAGAGGTATAATAATTCTTGATCAGAAAGGAAAATACTGAGGAGGAAAAAACCCGATGATAAAACTAACGGTATATTCCATTGGAGGCTCAAACTGTCATGCTGTACAATCGATGGCTTCGTTTGAACGCTTAAACTCCCACATAAGCTCTAAAGTGAATCACGGCTTACAGAGACTTGAGGTCCTGTATATCTTCAATAAGAGAAATTTTGCGTAATTACTAAAGGGTACAAATCCTGCACCTGGGATAAAATCCTAGTACTGCCACTCTTTAGCCATGTGACTTGGGGCAAGTTACTTACACACGCTGAGCCTCCGTTTCCCCCCTTGAAATAACAGGGGTAAGAAAGTGCTGACTATAGAGCTGTTACAAGGATTAAATGAAATAAAGTACATGATATGCTTTTGCACAGTGACTGACCTACAGTCAGTGCTCAATAAATGGTAGCGGCTATTATTATTATTATCGACATATTATTTAAAAACATATTATTTTAAAACATCGAAGGGATTTCATGGAAGAGGATTTGCAGTCTGTCCTAGATATCATGTATCCGCCCAGGAGTTCAGATAAAGATTCAGATATGTTGGATTATTTAGTTGGAATATGTTGGATTATTTAGTTGGAATATATTGGATTATTTAGTTGGCATGGGGCTGGTTTCTTAACCGCTGTTGTAAAATGAGAAATGAAAACCTTTGCCACTTGATACATTTTAGCATGATTGCATGAGCAGGTAACTTTGATGGGATGGGGCATCCACATGTTATGAGGGATGAAATCCTGATAAGGAGCCAGGGAGACCTGAGTTCTAGTGCTACCTATGGCCACTGGGTAACCCTGGGCCTCATCTGCCCGGCACCACTAATACCTGCCTATTTGCTCACAGAGTTATGATGAGGATCCCCCGTGTGTGCTCGTTGCTAACACGGTACGGTAAAATAAGGCGGTGATGCTACCGTCACCCCCAAGGCTCCCCGTTCTCCTGGTCCCCTCCTTGACTCGTCTGTGCCAGATATCGTCGACATCAAGCCAGCCAACATGGAGGAGCTCACAGAGGTGATCACAGCGGCCGAGTTCCACCCCCATCACTGCAACACCTTCGTGTACAGCAGCAGCAAAGGGACAATCCGGCTGTGTGACATGCGGGCGTCGGCCCTGTGTGACAGGCACACCAAATGTGAGTAGCCAACAGCCCAGGGCTCGTGGCAGGGATGCGCCACTGGCCCCTGACATGTGGGAGGAGAAGGGGGAGGGCCTGGAGGGATTTGATCTCCTTTCCCACCTCAGACACACTGGGAGTAAAGAAACTACACGTGTTGGCCTGACCCGGGAGTCAGTTCCATGTTTGGTATTTTGATAAAGAGGAAACCTCACGTCCAATCCCACAAACATTGGCTTCCGGCTGTGGAATACAGAGATGAACAAGACATAAGCCCTGTCATGTAACATTGTGACATGATCTGAATTATGTTTTAAGATTCCTCTTGCTGCTTTGGGGAGAATGAACCTGCAGAGTAGAAGTGGGGGGGACCAGTTAGGGGATGGTCGCGATATCCAGGCAGGAGATGCGGGTGACCTGGACAAGGGCAGGGTGTGAAAATGGAGAGGAGTGGACGGGTTCTGGACAGATCTTGGCAGTAGAGTTAACTGGACTTGCCGGACAGTGTGGAAGGCTGAGAATATACAGGAATCAAGAATAGCAGCTGGGGACACTAAGTTAGCACTGTATTGTGTATTTGAAAGTTCTTAAGAGAATAGGTCTTAAAAGTTCTCATCATAAAAAAAAAATTGTAAATATGCATGGCGATGGATGTTAACTGAACTCATTGTGGTGATTATCTTGCAATATATACATGTATCAAATCATTATGCTATTCACCTAAAACTAATATAATGTTATATGTCAATTATACCTCAACTTTAAAAAAAAATAGCAGCTGGGGGAAAGGGTTAGTGGCTTCTTGGAGAGAGTGAGGCTTTGGGAACCAGCACCCTAGAAGGCCCAGTGATTTTCGTGGGCACCAGGGAAGGGCTTCAGAGAGAAGGGATGGGATAAAGTCCACCAGGCTGACAGGCCCTGGGATGACGCTGGAGTTTTCAGGGCGTTGACTGAGCAAAGCAGCTCCGAACTAGTGGGGGCTGAGTGCTTGGGGACCAAAGGCTAAGACCGATGTAAGCGGGTGAAGCAAGAGTCAGCTGTGGTAGTCAGAAGGGGCCTGGAGCTAGCAGGAAGGTTTTCTAGAAGACAGAACTCCCCAGAGTAAAGGTGCCTAGAGGAGCCATGAGAGCTGTTTGTCTGGCCAGCACCTTCTGCCGGGTGCCGCTCTGCCATTACAGCCTGGACAGCTGGGAGTGAAGACCTTTCTCTCCCACAGCCTCAGCTTTCGATTTTAATTCCTATGGGACCTGAGCGATGTGATGACTCTCTGTGTAGGTGTACGGCTAGGAGAGGTGTGAATATCTGGGTCATTTTGATCATATCTGTTTGCTCATTCGCCGTGAGGAGTATTGCACAGGAGAGCTGGTATGTCTAGTGTAGTGGGATGTAGACTGTGTGGATTCCAGAGTCATCCAGACCCAGGTCAAAGGCAGTCTTCACCCCTTATTAGCCGCCTGACTTTGTCCAACTTTCCTTTACCTTTCTGAGCCTCAGTTTTCTCATATGTAAAATGGGTAAGATAATAACATCCACCTCATGGGTGTGTCATGGGGATTAGATGAGATAACTATTAAGAATTGTTAATGAGTTGTTTCATACTAAGTGTGTTTTACGCTTCCAGGAGATTTCAATTCAGATGATCCACATTTCCAGTACTCAATCGCCATTGTGTAGCTAGTAGCTACCATATTGGACAGTGGTGATTTAAGATTTCCTTCATTGCAGAAGGTTCTCGTGAAGAGTACCGATCTATACTGTTGGCTCCTTGAGGGTGTGGACTTACTTTGTTTTGTTCACTGCTGTTTCCCTAGCACCTGAAATAGTACCTGGCCCATGACAGATGCTTTATCGATGTTTGCTGGTGTCTGTGCTGGTATTGATCTTTGAGCAGTACTTACTTATAAGCCAAAAAGGGGGAAATGTTCAAGGCAGAAGGATCAGCACATGCAAAGGTGCTGAGGCATGAAAGGTCATAACACTTTTGGAACTGCAGGGTGACTGATATGGCTGGCATATAGCGAATGACTTGGAGAGGGAAGAGTTGAAGTTCAGGGGGAAGGTAGGAGACTGGTCATAATGGCCATGATAATGGACTTGAATTTTCTCTCAAAGTCAGTGAACAGCCCCTAGAGTAACCAGGGGACTGATTGGAATTATTTTCTGGAGAAGTTGCTTAGACTGAAGGCAGAAGGATGGAGGTTGGATTCTGTCTGGGAGAACAAAGAGTCAAGAAAAGAGGTTAGGAAGATTCGATAACGTACGCAAGGATTTCTTAACGATGCACTATTGAATTGGGGGCACCCGATCCTTTCTTTGGGGGAGGCAGCTGTCCTATGCATCGTAGGATGTGTAGCCGCATCCCCAGCCTCTACACACTAGATGCAGGCAGCAAAGGCCAGTTATGACAACCAAAAATGTCTCCAGACGTTATGATGTATCCTGGGGTGAAAATTGCTCCCAGCTGAGAATCACAGATCTAGACTGAAATTCACTGGCAATCCTTCAGCATGATCTTCTAGTATCTATGATGTATCCATTACTATTAAGCACTCTGAGGGGTACAGTGGAAAGGGTAAGACATCTCCTAACACTCAAGGAATTTCACGTTTGGCTGGGGAGGCAAGACGTACCCAGGACACCCAAATGAGTGGTAGAGACGATTAGGAGTTGGGATATTTGGGGAAGTGGGGAGAGAGGGACATTGGAGGTAGACCCTACAGGGGAGGCAGAGGCTGAGTGGTAGTGTTGAAGCAAAAGTAGGAATTGGTTAGGTAGGACCTTAGAGAGAAGGGTGTTTGGGGTCGTACACACAAGAATGGGCAAAAGCCTGAAGTTAGGAGATGACATGAAACCTTTAAAGAGCAAGAAGTGTTGGGCTTGGGTTAAAAGGGGAATATGGAGGAAAAGAGGTCAAATAGGGATGATGGTTTATATCAAGTCAGTCGTTGAAGGTCAGAATCAGAAGTTATGCCTGCATCCATTCATTCATTCATTCATTCATTCATTCATTGAGTACCTGCTCTATACTCGGAGTCTGGCTCCTATGGTAGCCAGTCCTTCTTAAACTTTGCCACCAAGTACAGCACTCCCAGACCCAGGCTGTGAGCCTGGCTGCTCTGCAGGAAGGGCACCAAAAGGCAATCCAGCCTCTCTGATGTGCTCTGGGTGGCCCGGCCTCTCAGCAAAGGCAAAACTGCACATGCCTGCCAGAGGCCTGAGGCTCCAGGGGAGGTGCTGACCATGGTGGATTTTCTTTGAAGTCTTATTTTGTCATCTTAAAATTTCACATGGATTTTGTATTTTATGCCCATAAAATGACTACTTTCCATTTAATTGAAATATTACATTTCTACCCATCCCCAAATTTCAAGCAAAATTGACATTTCCAAAAGATGCAGCATTTATCTACGGCTTCCTATACCACATGGTGCACCCCTATATCGTCCTCCTTGCTGACCTCCAAGGATGCGTACATGTGCCTCAGTTTGAGAAGCACAGCTCCAATATGTGGAGAGCAATTGGAGATCATTTGGCTGGAGAACAGAGCTATAGAATTTATGTTTTATGGAAGATTACCACAGTGGTGGTGGGAAGAAACATAGGAGAATTAAAAGGTTCTGCTTTAGTCTCAATACAATGGAAATTCATAACCTAGGTAAGAATGGTAGCACAGGGAACTCTACTCAATACTCTGTAATGGCCTATGTGGGAAAAGAATCTTAAAAAGAGTGGAGATATATATATATATGTGTAACAGACTCACTTTGCTGACCGCCTGAAACTAACACAACATGGTAAATCAACTATACCCCAATACAAAATAATAAAAAAACGGATGGTAGCTATGGAAATTGAAAGAAAGGAAAGGGAAAAAGAAACATTTTTCTTTCGAAATAACTGTGGGGATGTAAAGCGATATTAGAGATTGGTGTTCGTCACACATGGATATTACTTGTTCAATATCCTTCCCCTCTAGACTGTAAACTCTCTGAGGACAAGAACTGAATCTGTTTTGCTCACCTTGTATCACAAAGGACTGACACACAAACAGGTGCTCAGTAAATATTGATTCAATAAATAAATTTATGCCTGAGCGTTGACAGAAATGGCACGTGGATTGCGGACTAATAAGAAGCCATACTGAAGGAGAGTGAACGGTTGAGGACCAGTCTGGGACATGCTGTGTGGGAGGTGACATTAGCTGTCTGACCGGGCTTGAGGGGCCATCAACCCAAAGTGGATGCCAGAGATGGCACGAGAAGCCCGGTGTGTTCACAGCCCAAAGCGGCAGACACCAGCCTGGGCTCTGGGGTCGGACAGACCCACAGGAGGGCTGGATAGTGAGGAGGAAGCTGCCTGGGAGGCTTGGTGAACTCTGAACTCAAGATGGAAAAAGGATAAGACCTTAGGCATTTCCGGAACTAGAATTGTTTAGAGAAGAAGCTTTGGAATCAGAACGCAGCTCTGTCGCTCAGCAGCTGTGTGGCCCCCAATGAAGTTTTGAATCCCTCTGAATCTCAAGTTCCTCCTCTGAACATAGAAATAATATAATAAAGACCGTCTCATAGGGCTGGCTGTTCCCAAGGAGTAACTGTCCTCAAGTGTATAAGAGCCTAACCCTCTGCCAGGCACACAGGAGACAGTGAACGGCAGCAGCAGTTACCACAGTTACACCTCCTGAGTACCCCCCGCTTCCAGACCTGCAGCTCTAAGAGGCCTGAACCTCCAACCTTTACTCCATGTCCACAAGCCCCATTAGTCATTTATTTAATTAGTACTTGTTGAGCACATACTATATGTCAGGTACTGTACCAGACTCTGGGGACACAATGGTGAGCAAAACCAGATCTGCTTTCTTCCCTCTTAGAGCTCAAGGTCTATACTAGTGAGGGTCTCCAGAAGAACAGCACCAATAGGAGATATATATATATATCATATATATACACATATGCATATATACACACACACACACACACATACACCTGTGTATGTATATATAAATGTGAAAGATTTGTTAT